GATCTTAAGGGTCAGACTTTCTCATTTTCCTGTCCCCTGCCCTTGAACTATACCTTGTAACTATGGGTGGTCCTGTAGAGGCTTCTGCTGTATCCCCTTCCCCACCCCACCCAGCAGTACAAGGTCATGGCCTTATGTCAGTCAAGGCTCTGAGGGTTTTCTGCTCACTTGCAGGAGTAGACAATTTTTTTCCCTAATGTACCTCCAGAAGCAGTGGATTCTAGCCTAGATTTTGAAGGCTGAGGAAGAAAGGAATCTGCCTCTTCCACAGTAGCTTTAGGGTTTGATTTAGTATAGAAAAGAGTTCTGGTAAGGTTTTGAACTTGTGCTCCACTAATGGAGGCATTCTTTAGTCTTCTAGTTTGTACCTGAAGGAGGCCCATGGAAATAAAATGACTGTGGATTCCCCTGTGTCAGAACTTCTGTCACTACATAAGGCAGAGGCTCAGCCTTTACAGCTGTTAGAATTCTAGCTATTCTCATTTACTTTTATGGTGGCCAACTCTTCCTCACCTGCTCTTGCAAAGGAAAAAACATTCACATGTCTCACCTCTCTTCTTAACAAACTAGCAAAAGAAGGAAATTTCCTCTATGAGAGAAAGGTCACCTTTACAAAACTTAACAATAACATCATAATTATTGGGGAAAGACTGAATGAGACTGCTTGCAAGACAGGGCTGCTCAGTCCATCATTTCGATTCAGAATTGTGCTACTAGTCCTTTAATATGACAGGCAAGAAAAATAAATAGAAGGCATATGATCATAAGGAAAAAGTAAACATGTCTTTATGTGCAAACTGATCCTCTATGTTCCAGAATGAACAAAAAAGCCTCAAGAACTAATAAAGGGATTTCACCAAGGTCACAGAATAAATGAAAATCAATACTAAGTAATGAAGAATTGGAAATTTAAATTTCAAAAAACACTATTTTCAGGAGCCCAAAAAGTACGAAAGATGTAAGGGTAAATCTAACAAGATATATTCAAGAAAACTAGAAATTGCAGTGGGGAGAAATTAAAGGAGAGCTAAATTAAAGGAGAGAGATAATGTCTTCATGGATCAGAATACCAAATATTATTAAGAAGTCAATTATTCCAAATTAATCTATAGATCCAACACAATTCCAATGAAAATTACATGTACTTGACAAGCTGAATCTAAAATTCATATGGAAAAGCAAAGGATCCATAAAATTACAAAACAATTTAGAAAGAGGATAGAGTAGTGGGTGAACACTATGTAATTTCAAGATTTACTATAAAGGTATAGTCATTAAGCCAAGTATAAAGTTAGATGGAAAAATGAATGAAACAGAATAGTTCAGAGAAACACACAAATATGACAAACTGATATTCAATAAAGGTGCCAGGAAATTTAATGAGAGAAAAATGGTCTTTCCAACAAGGAACAACTGAAATTCATATGCAAAAAAAAATTTTAAAAACTGAGCTATCTTTACTTTGCTCCATGTAGAAAATTAACTCAACATAGTTCCAAAACTTACACTTATAATCTAAAGTGATGGCACTTTTAGAATAAAATATGAGAACATCTTGGAGTGAGCACTTGGCACAGCAGTTAAGACAGTCTTGGGTCCCCTGTGTCCTGTACTAGAGTGCTTGGGTTCAAGTCCTTGCTCCATTTTCAGTTCCAGCCTCCTGCTAATACACACCCTGGTAAGAAGTAGTTGATGGCTCAAGTAAGTGGATTCCTATCACCACATGGGATTGAGTTCCAGGCTGTGCCTTGGCTTAGCACTGGCTGTTGCAGACACTTGGGGCATAAACCAGTAGATGTAAGATTTCTATCTCTGTCTCTTGGCCTTTCAAATAAAATGAAAGTTAAAAAAATAAAAAGAGAGAATACCTTTGTGAGCTTAGACTATGTAAATATTTTACTTCTTAGGATTAAAAAAGAAAATAAAATGACACACTAGATTATGCAAAGTTAAAACTTCTGTTCTTTGGAAAACAATGTGAAGAAAATAAAAATGCAATCTAGAATTGGAGGAAATATTTGCGAAAGATAAACAGATAGGGGCCAGCACTGTGGCGTAATGGGCTAAGCCTCTGCCTGTGGTGCCGGCATCCCAGAGGGGTGCTGGTTCTAGTCCCAGACACTCTTCTGATCCAGCTCTCTGCCATGGCCTGGGAAAACAGTAGAAGATGGCTCAAGTGCTTGGGTGCCTACACCCACTTAGGAGATGCAGAAGCAGCTCCTGGCTCCTGACTTTGGATCAGCCCAGCTCCAGCCATTGTGGCCATTTGGGGAGTGAACTAACAGATGGAAGACCTCTCTTTCTGTCTCTCCTTCTCTCTGTAACTCTACTACTCAAGTAAATAAATAAAATCCTTTTTTTAAAAGAAGATAGAGCTTGCTTCCAAAATATATAAAGTCCTTATCGTACAATGTAAATATTGTATTATATTGTATGTATTATATCAACTTGAACAGATACCTCACAAAAGAAAGTGAATAGCCAAAAAGCACATGAAGATACCCTCAACATAATTAGTCATTAGAGCAAGGAAAATTAAAACCACAATACTATCACATATCTACAAGAATGACTAAAATTAAAAATATGCAGTACTAATTGGCTGACAAAGATGTGGAATAAATGGAACTCTCATACAATGTCAATGGATGCAAAATGCACTTTGTAAAACAATATGGCAGTTTTTAATGAAATTAGACCATACTTCTCTTATGATCTAGCACTTCTATCCCTGGGTATTTGCCTAAGGAAGATGAAAATATATCTGTACAAGGATGTCCATGAATGATTATACTACTTTTATTCATAATAGTCCAAACTGGTAATATTGCAAATGTTTATTAAATGATGATAGAACAGAAAAACAATAATAGTCCCATATGTTAGAAGCTATAAAGGTAGCAATAAAAGGTAAATCAGTAATGACATATGAAGCAATCTAGATCAATCTCAAAAATTTTTGCAAATAATAATAAGCCAGACACAAGGTTTCATTCAAGTAATCTGATTCTATTTTTCTGACATTGTGGAATGTACAAAACTATAGTGATAGAAGGTAGATCTGTGCAGTACCATGGTCTAGGGTTGAGTGAGGGGGAAGTGACTTTTACGGTGTATGAGGGACCTTTCTCGCATGACTGAAACATTCTTTGTCTTGACCACAGTGACAGTCACAAAACTATACACATTTGTCAAGCCTCATTCAATCACACATTTTAAAAGGCAAATTTCACATCATGTAAATTATACCTCAGTAATCCTCAGGTAGAAAATTGTTATGAAAAGTCCCAAAATTGAAAAGTATATCACTAATTAACTTATAAGTTTATCATGCAGGTAAAAACAAATATAACAATATATGATGAGCTTACTTGATCATCATACAAAGAGTTTAAAACTCTAACACTCTCTAATTTTTGACTTACAAAAAATTAATGAGCTGATAGACAAACTTTTTAAAAAGATAATGTTCAGTAATTATGCAGTAAAACCATGACAAAAGCTGATAATAAACATTAATATTTGGATATGGAGAAAGAGAATGTAAATTAGTACAGCCTCGGTGGAAAACAGTATAGAGATTTCTTAAAAAACTAGAAATAGTCTCGCCATATGATCCAGCAAACCCACCACTGGGTATATACACAAAAGATATGAATACACTGTATCAAAGAGATACCTGCACCACCATGTTTATAGCAGCACTGTTCACAATAGCCAAAATTTGGAATCAGCCAAAGTTTGTTCATCAGATGAAGGGATAAAATAAAATGTGGTATATATACCCAATGGAATATTATTCAGCCATAAAAAGAATGTAATTCTACCCTTTGCAGCAAAATGGATACAACTGGAGGACATGTTGAGTGAAATAAGCCAGACCCAGAAAGACAAATACTGCATGTTTCCCTTGTAAGTGCTAGCTAAAATTTAAAGAAACAAACAAGAAAGAAAAAAATGTCTATGTGTAGTAGTATTGCTGCAAATATAGTTTTGTGAAACATTGTTTTATACCTTTGTCAAGCCAATTTTTAAGAATTTTATACTAGCATAGTTTTAATGATTTGTGATTTCTTTGAAATTTATTATATGTGGGTAAAAGGGTCATTTTTCCATTCATTTATTGTTTATAGCCATTGTCCATATTCCCATTAAACTAGGGTCTTTTTGCTTTTAACTTGTTACACTTTTCTTGCAATGTAAATTATCTAAAAAACTAAGAAATTATGGAAAGAAGGGGAGAAGGAAAGAGGATGGGAGAAAGTGAGGGGGAGGAGGGTACCTGGTAGGAAGGGAATACCATATGTTCTTAGAATTATATCTATAAACCATATTGAATCTGCTGAAAACTAATTAAAAATAAAAACAATAACAAATGAATATAATTAGGGCCAGTGCTGTGGTGTAGCAGGTTAAGCCACTGCCTGCAGTGCCGGCATCCCATATGGACGCTGGTTCGAGACCCAGCTGCTCCACTTTCAATCCAGCTCTCTGCTATGGCCTGGGAAAGCAGTGGAAGATGGCCCAAGTCCTTGGGCCCTTGTACCCATGTGGGAGACCTAGAGGAGGCTCCTGGCTCCTGGCCTCAGATCGGTGTAGCTCTGGCTGTTGCAGCCAATTGAGGAATGAACCAGCGGATGGAGGACACCCCCCACCTTCTCTCTCTCTGCCTCTCCTTCCCTTTCTGACTTTTAAGTAAAATAAATCTTTAGAAAAAAATTAATATATGCTTGTCTTCTAAAGGAGCAAATATAAAATATAATTCTATACTCCTTCATCAAAGCATACCTGTAAACTGGAAATAATCAATATATGGATAGATATAGTGATATTTATCATACTCTTATATACTTTGATATGTCTGAATTTTTTCCAAAACAGTTTAAAAAATGGTAAAGACATATTACAATTTATAGGTAACCTGTTTACTTAAAAAATTATAATAAAAAGAAAAATTTGCATGAAGACAAATAAATACATGAGGGCTAAGCAATGAATACCTTGGCAATAGCAGTCTGCTTAAACATGCGTGTAATCAACCCCATGACAGTCACTGTGGCATCTGAATTTGGAGATTTCATTAATTTTTCCCACTCTTCAAAGCTGGCATTTAATTCCTACATGGAAGAAAATAACATTGTTAAGGAATATAGCACAAAGAACAGAACAATTAATGCAAACATGAATCATATCCTACTTTTTCTCTTTTCTGCACAGAAAGGTATTTTTAAAAATTCCCAAAGATACCAACATATTCACTGAGAAACAGAAGCACAGAGTTAGGTCAGTGTCATGTTCATGCCAATTATAGAAACCAACATCAAGTTGTGGGTGAAAACAAAGCCCTTTGCTAGCACCATAAATTGAACAATTACAGCTTCCTCTTAACGAGAAATTTTTACAAAAGATTTATTTATTTGAAATGCAAAGTGACGAGAGAGAGAGAGAGAGAGAGAGAAACAGAGAATGACAGAGAGAAGGATCTTCCATCTGCTGGTTTATTCTCTAAATTGCCATAACAGCGTTGGTCAGGCTAAAACCAGAGCCAAGAAACCCATCCAATTTCCCATGTGGGTACTCAAGGGACTCAAGGAGTTGAGCTATCTTCTGCTGCTTCCTAGGCACATTAGCAGGGAGCTGGATTGGAAGCTGAGCAGTTAGGTCTCGAAGCAGCACTCTGAAATGGGAGGCAGGAGTCCTAAGCAGAGTCTTAACTTGCAGCTTCACAATGCCCACCCAAATAAGAAATAGTTTTTAAAGAGAAAATAAAATTTTAATTTTAAAATAAGAAAACATGAATGTTATGAAAATATACATGGTAGCAAAGTATTTTTTATAAAAAACAATGATAAATAAGATATGATTTTTATTTAAAGAAACATAAAGACCAGCCAGTTTCAGTTAAGTAAAATGTAATATAATCATATATTGATTCTCCATTTTATTTTCTTTCTAATCCTAAAATAATCTAAAAACTGGATCATTCTTATTTTAGAAATAGCATATTGGTCAACGTTTACAAAATGCATACTCTAGGCTTTCAAGATAAAAAAACAAAAAAAACTCTTTATGCACAAAGTCATGTCAGAGAATACATAAGCACTGCACCCCCGAGAAGTAAAAATAGAGAAGGAATAGACAAAATATACTCTGGCTTTCTGATTTTCACATCTTATACCATAATCACAGTTTCAGGAATTTAAGAACAGAACTGCATCCAAGTTAGTCTGAAGACAGCTATTCATAATTAAAAAAAAAATTTACAGCAAGAAACAAAATTTCCCTTGTTAATATAGAATCCTATAGATGCTTAGAATTCTTCATATTAAAGCTTCTTTGCAATTGAAATACCTTTTTTCTATATTCTGCAGAAATTTTTTAATCACTAGAATATTATATCTGTTCACATATTTCATGACTAAAATTAAATTCTTTCTGCTCTCTTCCTGAAATGATACAAAAACCAATTCATATGTTCTATTAATTAAACTTATTTTAAGAAAGCACTTTTCCTTCTGTGAAATATGAAATATGTATAATCTTCAATAATATAAATTTTAAATGATTTAAAATAAAATAAGAGTTGCAATCAAACCTTGGGTTCTCACCTTGGCTGCTGCTGATGGAAGATCAAAGGGAATACGCTGTCTGATTTTAGGGGGCAGTTGGGTTAAAACTTCAGTCTTTAATCTTCTAATCATTATGTCACTTAATAGTTGGTGCAGCTCATTAAGATTTGATGCCCCTCTACAATCCCACTGGGACCTTTTACCAAAGTATCTGTTCATATGAAGAAAAAACATGTAACAAAGCTGAATGCTAGAATGAGAAAACAGTTTATTCAGTATTTTCTTCCTTTCAATAATAAGGAGCTTTGACACTATTTTCATTGTTATTTCTGAATAAAAGCTAGGTTCAAAGTACTCTCAATCACAGAAAATGTTAAAAGTTCAACACACTGCTTACAGTGAAATAAATTCCAAGCCTGGGATGAACTGATGACTACGAATTATACATAAATCATTGTTGTAAATGGGTGCTACTGGAATTTTGGGTGGGTTCACACACAGCAGTATGGTTAGCAAATCTAGGTAAGTACAAATGAGGTGCCCTTATACCAGCTTGTCATCTTTTTTCCCAAAACACCTAAGAACATTCTCCACCCCCTCTAGGAGGAGATATTATATCCAACTGAGTTGTTAAGCATAGCAGATTGATTACTTCGTGGTCTCTTCTTCCTTTGCAACCACTGGACTGACAGCAAAGGAATTTTAAAAAAGATAGGAATTCACTATGAAAGTGAGAATGACAGAGAAGGCATCAGAGGGTAAGTGATTTCAAGAAATACTTAGAAGGCAAAATGGCAGAGGGGCAGGTGGTAAGTGACTTGGGTTTAAAAAAAAAAAAAAAAGGAGGCTACAGCTTCAAGAGCTACTTGTCCTCTATACCTTTGAGAAGATCAGGAGTTGGAAGCACCAAGTACTGTGAGCAGCTGTTACATGAAGACTGAAATCTACTGGATTGGGCTGAATTTACAGACTAGCTGGCCCAACAACATCTCCCATCATCGTGACAACCAAAAACACTAATAAAAAAATTACCAATCATCTCCTGGAGGTTCAAACCACTGAAACAGCTGGCAGAGAATAATTGCAAGGAAAAAAACTCTTGCTAGGTTGTATTATGGCTGTTAATACTAACAATTTAAGTAATGATCCATTTTAACAGGATTTTAGTGTGTTATAGCAGAAATAGTTGTCAAGCTGAGAAACTTGGAACTTGCTAAAACATTTTAGTTTAGTTTAGTTTAGTTTACTGTATTAAGGCATCATATAGGAACAGTATGTGAAACATTAAAAACAAATACTCGCTGAAACAGGTCTTTGGGCTAGCAGTTAAGATGCCTCTCGGGATGCCTGCACCATACAGCAGAGTGCCTGGATTTGAGTCCTGGCTCTGCTCCCAAATCCAGATTCCTGGTAATGCAAACTCTGGAAGGCAACAGATGATGGCTCAAGTATCTGGGTCCCTGCTATCCACATAGAACATGCGGACTGGGTTCTCGGCTCCTGGCTTAGCCTGGCCCAGCCCTGGCAGTTGCAGGTTTTTGGGAGGGAACCAGTGGATGAGAGTTCCCTGTCTTTCTCTCTTCCACTCAAGTAAATAAAGCAAGATAAATAAAAAACAATTTTAAGTGTACTTTCACATTGACTTAATTAGAAAACTGCAGTGGATGGATGGAATTTATTGTATGATAAAATGCCAGATACCATTTACATGTCACTCATAAGGAATTTCCTTGTTTTAAAAAATTGAATCTATCAAAAATTAATAGGCTTCTTTAAAATTGTTATAAATCAAACTGCTGAAACTTGTTCATTAAAATATTCTTACTTCCTTTAATGCTTTTATGTCCCATACTTATTAAAAATTCACACACTGATAAAAATGGAAAAATGTTTCCCAAAACCTGATTTTGCCACCTATCTTTCCATTCAAATACTTAGGTACATTTTGACCATGTGCTTAAAAAAAAAATCTGATGATCAGAATGATTGAAAATGAGAAGAGGTTGGTAAGTTTAAATAATGAAATGTTTGCTACTGTTAATGAAAATGGATTCTTGAGCACACTGTGCACTTAGGTGACACATTCACAGGTATGTGTGATATGCTTGCTGGATTCTTCCACATGACAGTTACAGACTGGCCCAGACAGCACTCAGCTGTCTTCATATAAGCCAACCAAAAGGCTTTCCTGGCCTCTTGCAGAGCACCAAGGGCTGTGCTCCAGAAGAGCAGATCTGCTTAGAAGTCTAGGCAACCTAATTCCAGAGCTACCAGGTCTGTCACAATGAGGTTTCTTCACTCCTCCAACAGAGTGTGCATTATTGAGAGAGGATTTAGCTAGCTGCCTACTAGGTTTTGTTTTTACCACTATTTCACTGAAAACCATATGCTTGGTATGGTTTCAGTGAAATGGTTTTGGTCACTGGTTCAGAGAAATGGTTTCTTGCTAACTCCAGCCCCTGCCACATCTTTTTCATCTGGAGTTCAGAACGCTAGAAGATGGTGTTAACTCTAAAGAATGTTGGCAGCACATCTGTCAAACTCCTAACCTTGTGTTTGGAGTGCAACAGGAAAATAAGAGGAGGAAGGAGGGCTGGAAGGGATGCCACCTATAGAAACCTGGTCTCTTCCTATTAAATGTGACAAACTTCTTTTGGAATTTTTTTTTTTTTTATAGCTTAACTGAAATAGAGTAAAATGATTCCCCCAAAGTGTACAATTCAAGGGTTTTTAGTATGAGCACAGATATATGCAACTATCACCATAGTAAATTTTAGAGCATTTCGCCACCTTAGGAAGGAACCCCATATTGTTCAGCTTTCACTCCTAAACCTCAGTCCTGCCACCCAAGCCCTACAATACCCACTAATCTACATCTCTATAGATGTCCCCATTTTGGACATTCACGTGAGTGGAATCATATACCATGTGGTCTTCTCTGGCTTCTTTCACTTAGTATAATGTTTTCAAGCCTCACTTGTGTTGCAGCATGCCAACACTCCATTCCTTTGTAAAGACCAAATGACACTCCACTGTATGGATATAGCACAATTTATTTATGCATTTGTCCACTGATAGACATTTGGAAGGTTTCTCACTTTTGTGTTTTATGAAAAAGGCTACAATAAACATTCATATACCAGTTCATGTGTGGTTATGTATTTCCATTTCTCTTGGGTATACACATAGGAATGGAATCTCTGGGTCATACGGAATGTTACGTTTAAACATTTAAGGAATTGCCAGAATGTTTGCAAAAGCACCTAGATTAGTTTACATTCCCACCAACAAAGAATGAGGGTTCAAATTTCTTTACATCCTTGCCATTTTTCTTTTTTTGTTTGTTACCTGGCTTTTTGATTCCTGCTGTCTAAGTGGGAATGAAGAGTTATCTTACTGTGGTTTTGAATTGGGTTATTTGTCTTCTTAATATTGAACTTCAAGTGGTCCTTATACAATTTAGATATGCACAAATGCATAAACATGTACAATATACATAAATCCCTCATCAAGTTATATGCTTTGTAAATATTTTCTCTTATTTCAGTTTCTGATGGTGTCCTTGAAGTATGAAAGTTATTAATTTTGGTGAGGTACACTTTGGTTGTTCTGTTGCTAGTGCTTTCAGGGTCATATCTAAGAAAGACTTGGCAAATCCATGGCATGATTTACCCCTATGTATTCTTTTAAGGATCTTCTAGTATTTCTTCTTAACTCTCATCCATTTTGGGCTGATATTTATGTGTGATGTGAGATGAGAACCCAACTTCATTCTTTTTCAGGTAGCCACCTAGTTGTCCCAGAATCATTTGAAAGTTATTGCCTGTCTTGCTAAAAATCAGGTAACCACAAATGTATAAATTTGTTCCTGAACTACTCTATCCCATTAATCTAGGTATCTATCATTGTGCCAGTAACACATTATCTTCATTACCTATGTAATTGAGTCCTCCAGCCCTCTTTTTTTTTCATTTTTAAGACTGTTTAAGCTATTCTGGGTCCCTTGCAATGCCACATGATTTTAGGATCACCTTGTCAATTTGTACAAAGAAACCACTGAGATTCTGGTAGGTAGTGTGTTGAATCTACAGTTTGAGGTTATATTGAAGTATATTGTCATTTTAACAGTATTGTCTTTCCAGTCCATGAACACGAGATATTTTCCCATTAATTTAGATCTTCTTTCATTTCTTTTAATAGTGTTAAAAGAAAGTTTTCAGAGTATAAGTTTTATACAACTTTTATTAAATTTACTCTTAAGAGTTTTATTCTTTTATTGTATTGATGCTATTGTGAATGGAGTTGCTTTCTTAAGTTCATTTTCATATTGTTAATTCCAAGTGTATAACTCACTTCTGCATATTGATCACGTGTCTTGTAACCTTTCTGAACTCATGTATTCATTCTAGTAGTTTTTTAAATGTATTCCTTGGGATTCTTTTTAATATACAAGATGTTATTGCCAGCAAATAGTTTTACTTCTTTTCCAATCTGGATGCTTTTTTTCCTCTCCCCTAATTGCTCTGGCTGGAACTTCCAGTACAACAATGAATGAAAGTGGCAGTAGGAGACATCATTGTCTTATCATGACATTAGGGGAAAGCATTTAGTCTTTGACCATTATGTATATTGTTTCTTACAGGGCTTTTGTAAATGTCCTTTATCAGGTTGGGGAAGTAAGTAATTATATTTCTGACATGCAAAAACTGGCCTGACAATTGCTTTTCAAAAGTAAATTGCCTTCCATTGGGAGATTAAGATCAGGTTGATGTAGGGACCAGTATTGTGGGGTAGTGGGTAAAGCTGCATCTTATCTGGGCATTGGTTTGATTCCCACTGCTCCACTTCCAAGCCAGCTCCTCCTAACATGCCCAGGAAAGCAGCAGAAGATGACCCAACTGCTTGGGCCTCTGCTACCATGTAGGAGACCTGATCAAGTTCTTGGCTTCTGGCTTCAACCTAGCCCAGCCCCAGCCATTGTGGTCATTTGGAGAGTGAACCAGTGAATGAAGACCTTTCTCTCTGTTTCTCCCTCTCTCTCTGCAACTTTGCTTTTCAAATAAATAAAATAAATCCTTAAAAAACAAAAGAAGACTGTATTGATGTGGTCCAAGTTAAAGATAAAAAGGATCTAAACTGAAGCTGAAGTCCTGAAAATGAGATGAATATAGATTTAAGAAATTAAGCAATGCAGTCTGCAGGGCATGGTAA